CTTGCGAAAAAGTTCGCCATTGCTCCCATCGGCCTCACGACTCCTTTTTGTCATATTCCGCCCGACTACATACCCAATACTACCCCACTTACCGCCTCTGAGCATCAGCTTCACCAGCAACAGCTCGGGTGTCTTCTATTTGCAGTCGTTACATGCCACCCATATCTTGCATACATTACGAGTCAGCTCGCACAGTACCTGCACCGATCTGAATGGGAGAATATGGTCAGTCTTCGTCGAGCCCTCCAATATTTTTTTATACTCCTACAATCGCTCTAAGCTACACGGCAAATGCTGCATCGAATTTTCGACGGACTGGATACGTTGATGAGGATAGCTGCTAACCCCGACAACAGGCGTTCACGTACAGGGTTCATTTTTAGACTTGAACCGAGTGGTGTCATTTCTTGGAACTCAACGAAACAGGAGGTCATCGCACCTTCGTTAGCCGAAGCAGAATTCGTCGGAGCAAGCGCTGCAGTTCGTGAAGGACTCCATCTTCAAGAGTTACTTCAAGAGGCAAAAATCGCAATATCCCGTAACTTCAAGTTAGTCAGCGACAACCAAAGCGCAATCAAGATTGCAAACAAGCCCGCCTTTGTCAAAAGGACAAAACAAATTGCCCTTCGATACTTCTTCGTCAAGGACGAAATCAACAAAGGGAAGGTCGTCCTGAAATACTGCCCCACGGAAGAAATGGCAGCTGATTTTCCGACAAAGCAACTCCCGCGCGACAAATTTCAGTACTGCTCCAACTTGGTTGGAATCTGCAAACGAGGCGACACTTACCCAGAGACATACACTCAGCAATGAAGGGGAGTATTCAAGTATACTCGATAGAGTTACGATGTTACACTAAGATTGTACTAGTAGCGCAATACCTCATATGGAAAGACACACGTGATATCGTTAGCAGTAGCGACTCAACGCGTGAATAGTTGGTTCGCGCTTATAGTCACCCGAAGGGTCACGCCACTCTCAGTCACACAAACAGTTACTAGTTATGTCACGCAAATACTGTAGTTACGATACACTACGAACAGGTACATCTCGAATAGGTACTTCCTAGATTATAGATATGCATGTATTACGCATTATTACCATCCTGTCAGAAACAAAGAATAACTAGAATACCTGTGTACACGAGTATATGACCTAAGGGTTGTACCCTCTAAGACACAAACCTATACAGTCTATACAAACATAAACAACATATGTTTGTGTCGTGAAGTTAGGCTAGGTAGGAATAGGAGCCATGGAAATGGCGAGAGGTTTAGCTAGGGGGCGAGAAGCTGAGGAGAGAAAAGAGAACTAGGAAAGAAGAGAAAGGGATACAAGGAGGGGTGTTGTACCCTTTACAGTAATGTTCAAGGGATACAATTATATAATAACTTATATCATTTAACAGTTTGACACATCCTTGTCATTTCGGACATTTGCAAGACAAGGTGTGAAGTCTTCCGCTGACTTTTTATTCTGGTTCCACCAACTCTAGATCCTTGCCACCCTAAACATGTGGTTCATTTCAACAAGTTATGTGTCCTTGCTGTCGTGACGAACCCTTGAACTTCTGTCGGTTCGACTCTCGGTCAACGGTCAACAACCGCTGCACTTCGTACCTCACGTCATAGGCTTGGACTCGACAAGGGTTTCGGTTCGAGTGTCACTTTCAGGAATGTAACAGTTTACTTACCGTATTCCCCCGGATAAAACACCCGCCGGAATTAATCACCCATGGGTGGTTTGGGCGGACCTGGGTGCTTTATTAAACTGGATATTCATACCACCCTAGTTTTTGGCATGAAACCTATACACCACCCCCCTGGTTCACTTTCAATGGAGTTCTGTAGATTTTGCCTCTTATCAGGGTGTCTCTTGTCAGACTCGTGCGTCACTGAGCAGTGCAAGCTCGACGTGAAGTGGTTCAATGCGGTGTAGACCTGTTACCATGCCTAGAATTCCCGAGTATCAGGCGAATGTTGCGAGCCTGATATTGTACGGGGCTCATGGGAGGTTGCCACTTGCCACCACGATACTGCACGAGCCTGATTCCTGTCGAGGTTGCCACTTGCCACCACGATTTGACAGAACGTGACAATCTATGACGCATGCAACCTATGACTGTTTGCCTGCAACGTGGCATGACGATGGTCCTCCTCACCATGGCTGATTTTATCAGACTATTTTAGTTCGATTGTCTGAAATTTCATATCAATTTTTTTGCCGATCCTGATTTTTCAGACTTGCCAATTTCTGAATGCTGAACCCTTCAGAGTTATATGTTTTTGAATCCTGAGAATCTCAGACTTTGCAGTTTGTGGATACTGAGTTTTCAGAGTGGAGCACGTACGGACCATGAGACAGACATACCTGTACTGCACTTACCTACCCTCACCCAAAAATTTCGTCCCAAATCCCCAGCGGCTAGAGTCAAGTTCTTTCACACACTCCGCCCCGCAACCTAAAAATATGGCGAAGTCCTAGCAGCCAGAGACAGTTCCCCCCAGCACAACCAGCAGTCCCCCGAAATTGTTGAAGTCCTGTTCTAGAGACACCCCTCTCACACCCCCAACACCCACAATAATCGGCTAAGTCATCCATTTGTCACACCCCTTTCCCCAGAAAATTGGCTAAGTCTTCCATCCTTCCCACACCCCTTTCCCCTGAATTTTTTTGTCAAGTCCTCTGAGCGGGTAACAACCAACCTCCCCACGAAATTCCGCTCTACCCTTGTCGCCCGAGTCAGTCACGTCACGGTTCACTCACTTGGACCTACAGCATCCCTTGTGTTTTTAGCTCGGGCAACCACACCCACGTTTCTAGAACATGGCCCGCACTGTTCCCAGAGAAGACAGCGGCAACAGTGGAACTTGTCAGCCAAGACAAAAACTTCAGTGCATGTCAGAAACCCAAGGGACGTACGCAGCAAAAACTCTAGGAGGTCATCAGGTATTTCGGAAAATACAAATTTAGCCCCCCCTGGCAATACGCATTCTCCAAAGCGGTAACATTTGAACACATTTACAATCCCATCCTTACCGTGGCGAGGTGCGCGAATAGCAGGGGACGCTTTCAGTCCCAGCCGCCCAAAAACCTGGGGTGACTGACCCGGGCAAAAAGGGTACACGACCCTGTTTTCCAGGGTCGTGGGCAAAGGGCCGGCCGCGAGGGGTGGGTGTTGAAGTTCGTGGGCAATTTTGCAGGGGGCGGCCCGATTTGTAACCCCCACAATTGCAGTTTCAGGCCCCGACAAAACTTGGAGCTGCGCTGCAAAACAACAAATAATTCGCGACTCGCCCAAGAACCAGGTAACTTGACGCGCGCAAGCGCTGCACACATCCAACCTCTCCACGAAATTCCGCTCGCAAAAACGAATTACAGCAAGGGTGAAAACCACGTGAAAACCAGGTCGTCCCTGTTTTGTTTGTTCCGGGATCTTTTGCAGGACTCTGAGCCAACATTTCGAACCCTGAGTATTTCAGACTCGTTGATTCTTGGACACTGAGATTTCAGAGTAGCGAATTTTTGAAAACTGACCCTTCAGACTCGGGAATTTTTTTGGGGGGCAAAATCAGAGTGCCTTTTTTTGAAACGTCAGCCCTGCTCCTCACCATATACGCGATCACGTGCAAGAATCGTAAAACATTGGCACAAAAGGAGTGTCTACAACACAGTTTAATTCCAGTTCATAAACATAAAATTGTCATTCCATAGCCCCCAGGCATTATACAAAAAGTGCCACTAATTACACCCCCACTAAATTTTGCATCAAAATTTAGTGCCACCCGCGGGTGTTTTATCCGGGGGAATACGTTATCACAACAAGCGTCTCCAAAATGGATTGGGTTGTTTGATTGTTTCGTGTATTTTGGAAAATTGTAAATTCATGGAGCAGAATAACTGTGGGTTTTTATATGTTATGCATTATTGGTGAGTCCCATATAAGAGCTGAAATGTGGTTGTGGGGCAAATGTTAAAGCGAGAGGCTAGAATAGTGACCCCCATTTCAACTTGGACCCAACTCGAATTAGTTCGGCTCAAGAGTGTGTTGGTTGGAAACTTGCGAGACAGTTTTCTGTTAGGGGGTCAGTTTGTGTTTGTGCGACAGTTGGCGACAAATTACGAATGAACATATTGTATGATTCTCGCAAATCACAAGCCATCCCGCTACCCTGCGAAAGACAAGCTGAGGACCTTGATTTTGAGAGCCTAAGGCACGCATTTTCCCCTCAAATGTCACTTCAAAGTACCAGCAAAATAAAACGTTGCGAGTCAAATACAGAGTGCAAAATACCAAAACCATGACACAGAGAGAGACTCGCGGCGAGAGGTGCGGGAGAAATACGATGAGGAAGAAGTGTTCAGAGCGGGAGCGCGAGAAGGAAAGCACTGGCGAAATCGAAGGAGAGGGGCGGAGATAGAGAGGAAGAGGCGCAGAGAGAGAGAAGAAGAGGTGCAGAGAGAGAGAGAGAGAGAGGAAGAGGTGCGGAGAGAGAGAGGAAGAGGTACGGAGAGAGAGAGGAAGAGGCGCGGAGAGAGAGAGGAAGAGGCGCATAAACGAAGGGAGAGGTGAGGAGAGAGGGGGAGAGGGTGAGTGCAAGTTGAAAGGAGCAAGACTGTCGCCATGCGCCACCATCTCTTTCGCAACGCAACTCTCATCCGCTCTCCGCCTCGCTCTCTTTCTCGTCGCATCGCACTACACTCTCCCGCCGTGCTACACACTCTATCCAGCCGTGTTTTTCTCTCTCTCTAGCCACGCTACTCTGTCTCTCTCCCATCTCGGTACTCTCTCTCTCTCTCTCTCTCTCTCTCTCTCTCTCTCTCTCTCTCTCTCTCTCTCTCTCTCTCTCTCTCTCTCTCTCTCACACTCTCTTTCTCTCTCCCATCGCGCTACTCTCTCTCTCCCGCCGCGCTACTGTGTCTCTCTCCTATCTCGCTGTGCTGCTCTCTCTCCCATCGCGCTACTCTCTCTCTCTCCCGCCGCGCTACTCTCTGTCTCTCTCCCATCTCATCACGCTGCTCTCTATCCCATCGCACTACTTTCTCTATCTCTCGCCGCGCTCCTCTCTCTCTCTCTCTCTCCCGCCGCGCTACTCTGTCTCTCTCCCATTTCGCTACTCTCTCTCTCTCTCTCTCTCTCTCTCTCTCTCTCTCTCTCTCTCTCTCTCTCTCTCTCTCTCTCTCTCTCTCTCTCTCTCTCTCTCTCTCTCTCTCTCTCTCTCTCTCTCTCTCTCTCTCTCTCTCTCTCTCTCTCTCTCTCTCTCTCTCTCTCTCTCTCTCCCATCTCGCTACTCTCTCTCTCTCCCGCCGCGCTACTCTGTCTCTCTCCTATCTCGCTACTCTCTCTGTCTCCCATCGCGCTACTCTCAGTCTCTCTCCCATCTCACCACGCTGTTCTCTCTCCCATTGCACTAGTTTCTCTATCTCCCGCCGCGCTACTCTGTCTCTCCCCCATCTCGCTGCGCTGGTCTCTCTCTCATCGCGCTGCTCTCTCGCTCTCTCTCTCTCACCCGCTGCGTAACTGTCTCTCTTTCCCTCCCGCTGCGCCATTCTCTCCCTATATCGTTGCGTCACATTTTCCTCGCTATTCCTAGGCACTAAGGCGGAAAAAACAGGGGGTCAACTAGCGGAACTAGGTAGCTACGCGTCTGTTAGTAGCTTACTACTAGCCAGGAAATAAACTTTCGTGTAGGAAATGGACCAAGGCAATTATTGTTCAAATTATATAAGTTATAATTTATATAGGCTTGGTAGGTTGTTACTGAACCTTTCTGTAGGGGGTACAAACCCCTCCTTGTACTCCCCTCTCTTCCTAATCCATTTACCTTTTCTCTCGACACTCTCGTCCAGCTCCTAGCTAAACCCCGCCGCCACATTCATGGCGGCCTTGTTCCTGCCTAGTATCCTAGCTTAGTGTTACTTTAACATGGTATCAGAGCAGGACGTCTTTCCTGGGCCTGCTCCCCTCCGTGCTTCCGCTGCGTTCTCGTTTACTGCCTTCCGACTTCCTGCCGTGCCGCCGTGGCGGCCATGCCCGTTCCTGCCGTGCCGTCGCGTCGTGAAGCGTGGCGTCGACGCCACACTGCTGTGACGGCGCCGTGCTTACCATCGCAGCGGCGACGTCCCACCGCTGCATCGACGCCGCGATGTGTCGGCGTCGTAATGCTGCCGTGGCAGCGTCGTCGGACGGCAGCTTGCCGCGCGACGTTCATGGCGCCGCCACACCTGCTGCCCGCACGCCAGCCTCAAGCGTGAGGCTGGACCACGCCCCGCCCCCCTTCCCCTGTGTCCTGTATCTTGCCGCAGCTGACGGCTGATTCCCGCCGGCCGTCCCACCCTCGCGGGGTCTGGCCACGTCACCGAGAGGTGCGGGTGCCGCCGCCGCCGCCGCTGTTGTCGAAGCCGCCGCCGCCGCCGCTGTCGCCGCTTGCGTCGGGGCCACGCAGCCGCACGCCGCCGCCGCCGCCGCTGTTGACACTGCCGCCGTCGCCGCCGCAGCCCCTGTGGTCGACGTCGCCGCCTCACGCACCGTGGGGTCGACCGCCCTAGTGTCGCTGTCCCTGTGGCTGGAATGGGGGTGCTAGGTTAGGGGGTGTGTGGTGTGTTGGGTGGGTGTGTGACTACCAAGCCTAGGGGGTGTGTTCAAATTATATAAGTTATAATTTATATAGGCTTGGTAGGTTGTTACTGAACCTTTCTGTAGGGGGTACAAACCCCTCCTTGTACTCCCCTCTCTTCCTAATCCATTTACCTTTTCTCTCGACACTCTCGTCCAGCTCCTAGCTAAACCCCGCCGCCACATTCATGGCGGCCTTGTTCCTGCCTAGTATCCTAGCCTAGTGTTACTTTAACAATTATGAACCCAGGCCCAACTTGAAAAAAGAGTTTGGCCCAACTCGATCCAAAAGCCTCAACCCGTCGCATGCATTCGCCATGCCAGAATCGCACAGGGAAACGCTAACCCTGACAAGAATTTCGTGTCAGAAATACAACTGTGGCACGTCGCGCGTTTCGTCTCGCGACGATCATGTTGGCGGGATCCAATCAGCTTCGAGATCAAACTTTATTTTTCCAACCCGCGTCACTTTGGAACAGTAATTTGTCAGCTGAGGTTTCCAAGAGAAGTCACTAGGGGGAGTCATCTTTCAAGTTGGGCCAGCCTTCACTATTTTACCTTCTCGCTTTAAGTTGAAAGCTCTACATAGAACTGAACTAAGAAAGGACATCAGGCTTCCAGTGAACTATTCGCCTCGATTCGGAAACGATGTCTCGATACAAGAACTGTGGGCGAATCCAATGAATCACACCAGCAGTCTCTGCCTGATCATTCGCACGCAAGAGTGGAGCTTAGCGCGCGCCAAAGTATCCGTCGCAGGCGCAGCAATCGTGCAGCTGCAATTGGTGATGCTGCATCATCACCGACAGTTTCGTCTCACTCCCTCGCTGGCGACCGAACAACGAGGTGGTGAGGAGGAGGGTGAGAACAAGCGACCAATCCAATGGCGAGGTTCGCGTCGTCCTCACCGCCCCCTCCCCTCCCTCCAAGAAGTACCAGCGACGAGGGACGATGCGGAAGCGTCGAAGAAATTTTCTGTCTCGTGCGAGGAAACGCTGGTCTGTGGGACCCCAGCCTTGGACCACGGGCAAGGGGGAATTGGGGAATCTTGCTGACGCGGACGAGTTACCACAGCACGACTCACGAGTCACCACTCACCACGCACGAACGAGTCACGAGGACACGAGTTTTGAGAGATTAGTTGAGATAAAACGGTTGAGTGGGATTGGGTTGGACTTGGTTGGGTTGTAGGGTTTAGGAGGGTACGTCACGGGGGAAAAATTGGGAACGAACGAAGGAAACAGATGCGTTGACGACGCGGCTTGATTGCTGACGAGAAAAGCAGGCTGTGGCGATGCGGACTCTAGGGAGCTCACATCCATAACTATATGCTGGCAAACCAAGGATCAGCACAATCATAGCAGGCTCTATTCAGCAGACTCGCAGCCAGTTCTCGAATTGCTCATGCATCAATAAGACACGCAGCCTGCGAGCAGAAGAGTTGAACAAGCACGCAGGCGTTCTCATCCTCATTTGGGTTCTCGCATAAGGGTCTAATTCGGTTTCCTCCTTGTTTTGCTACCCGACATCCCAGCACACTCTCCCTCGTTCGCTGACATCTCTTTGACTCTTCAAGAAGTCTAATTAGCTCTATTCTTTGTTTCCCATTCTCTATCTATCCTCACCCTCAAGACCACTCTTAGTTGGCGACTTGACCGAGTATGGGCCTTTTTAGCGGCTTCGTGTCAAGGTCATCGGGTTACCACCCAGCATCCATTCTCGAGCACGAGTTCGACTTCTCGGGGTCGATCGGCCAGGGGCAGTACGGCACGGTGTGGCGGTGCTCGTCGCGCGCGACGAAGCAGGAATTCGCGTGCAAGCAGATAAAAAAGTCGCAGTTCCCGTCGCACGACCAGATGCGACAGGTGTCGCGCGAAATAGAGGCCATGCAGAAGTTACAGGGCCATGCGAACGTCGTCGACCTGCACAGCGTGTACGAAAACGAGTCTTTCATTTTCCTCCTCATGGAGCTATGCCCCGAAGGAGACCTCTTCACTCAAATCTCCGCAAACCACGGGCTGCCGGAGACCGACGCGCGCTACGTCTTTAAGAGGGTGGCTCTCGCCGTGCAGCACTGCCGCCGCAACGGAATCGTTCATCGCGATATCAAGCCCGAAAACATCCTCCTCCGCGACCCGGCACTCCCATCATCCATCACCCACCAAGCCCAAACCCCAAACAAGCCGATTCTTCCTCTTTCGCGCGTTTCTGATGCCGATTCTTCCGCCGCTCTGGCATGTGGCTGCGCGCCGAGCCGAGGTTGGGAAGTGAAGCTCGCCGATTTCGGCCTCTCGAGGCGACTCGACGAGGGATCGCGGCTGCGGGGATGCGTCGGAAGCTTCCCCTATGAGGCTCCGGAGGTGGTTGCATCTGAGCCGTACGATTGGTCTGCCGACGTGTGGAGCCTCGGGGTGTTGCTGTATACTATGCTTGCTGCCAGCTGGCCGGAGTTTAAGGACGGGCGGCGCGAGCTGAACGAGGACGCTGATTGGTCAAGTCAGTGTTGGCGACTCGTCAGCGACGCGGCGAAGGACTTAATTCGTCGCATGATGTCGATGAATCCCTGCGAACGGCCCACGATCGACGAGGTTCTGTGCGACGCGTGGCTGAGCTACGAGTCGTGCGTGAACGTGCTCTGCCCTGTGGCGTGCGAAGCTTTGCTTGAGCGAATCGCACAGAACGAGCGCGACGACGGGAAGGACGTCGCCCAGCAGTGCCTGTTGAAAGCCGTGGCGGTTCGATCAAGCCCCTCGCTGTCCACGTGGCTTTCAGCTGGCCTAATGTCAGCACCGTCACTGTCATCGTCGTTATCCTCCTCTTCCGCTTCTTCAGGCAAGCGGGTGCCGTTCAGCGAAAGCATCAGCAGCGATAGTAACAGCAGCCACAGCAGTGATGGCAGTATCAGCGAGAGCAGCGGCGTCATTGACAGTCGGAGGGGGGGCGCTTACGGTGTGGCCCAGTGTTGCGCTGAGGCAGCCAAATGGGAGGAAGTTGTGCAAAAAAGCAGCAGCAGCAGCAGCTACGACGAGGTGGAGGTAGAGTTGAACCCGCTGGCACAGCAAGAAGCCGTGAGGAGAAGGGAATGCTGCGCGCAGGGAGAGAGTGGGTGCAGGGATTGCAGCAGCGACCATGATGACGGTAGCGGCATTGGCAGCAGCAGCAGCAGCAGTGGCGGTGGTAGTGGTAGCGGCTTTGAGTGGTGGCAGAAGTCCAGGCTGGCAGCTGTGGCGGCATGGGCTGTGAAGAACGTGTGGGGCCCACCGGCTGCTGCATGCTAGGTGCTAGGTGCTAGGATCAGATGCCACAGTTTGGCGTGCTGCTGACAGGTGATACCAGTTGTGTGATTAAACGGGGTCAGCAGTAGTTTGCCTGGTGGACGCTCATCAGCAATACCAATAACGGCTGCACCATTCAGCAGCCGTCAACAGCAAGGCCAATAACTGCTGAGAGGCTCAGTCTCAGAGCGAACCCCTGAGCCCAGCCCCAGAGTCCACTGCTGCGGGCAGACTCCACGATTAGGAAAGTGAGCTTGGGCTGGGTGACCCTGCCATTACCTGAGTGATTTCCACTCTTGGACAGGGAACACTGCAACCTTTGTAGGTAGCGTGAGTAGATGCAGCCAGATACATAGAGCACGCAGAGCAGAGCAGCCAGTCTCAGAACTGCGCACTCTTGCAGTGGCAGTTCTGGGACTTACTGCTGCACCTAATGCAGTAGCTCCACCGCGCTGAAGTAGCCTTGTGTATATTCCAAAGAATTTGTGTAAGTATCAGTCAAGTGCTCATTATCAAAGTGAGAACGAATAATCATTAGAGGTGGAAACCTAGAACAAATACTAGTTGGTTGTACTCACTAGAAGCATACCTCAGTCTAGCCTATAACTTCTACATAGATAATATGTATAAGTTGACACACCCCCTAGGCTAGACAAGGGGTGAAACTAAACAAGAAACAAACAGCTCAGGGCGGCACTACTAGTCCAACCACTGAGGCAAGGGTCTGGAGACCAGTCAGCAAGAATACAACCAAAACTGAAGCATACCAGGGTGGCACTACTAGTCCAGCCACTGGAGGTAAGGCCACAAGGCCAGTCTGACAAGCATATATAATAGAGAGAACACAATCAGGATCCTAACAGGGGAGCAGCTACAGGAACAAGACCAAGCTGTACACAGTGCCGCTGATGATCTTTAGGCGCAAGCGCCTTAGTAAAGATATCAGCTCTGTTGGCACCTGAGGCCAAGTGAACTACGCGGGCCTGGCGGCGCTGCTGTAGCTCACGCAGGAGAAAGTACCGCAGCTGGATATGCTTCGCTCTGCCCTCAAGCCGAGGCTCCTGACACAGGAGTATCATGGCCCTGTTGTCAGCGTACAGGACCGGGGCAGAGCTAGGCCGCTCACCTAAGTCTGTGAGCAAGAAGGTCAGCCAGCGGAGCTCCTGTGCCGCCATGGCACCAGCGCAGATCTCAGCCTCACAGCTAGACTGAGCCACAGACGACGAGCGAGTGGATCTCCAAGAGATAGCACCCGAACCAAGGCTGAAACAGTAGCCCTGAGATGACCTGAGCGTCTCAGCGTCGTCTGCCCAAGAAGCGTCTGTGTGCCCAGTAAGGACCACTGGCCTGCGTCCTCCTAGCACTAACCCCATGCCTGATGTACTAGCAAGATAACGCAAAACCCTCTTAGCGGCAGACCAGTGCTGAGGTCGGTGTCTGCCTGTAGCCACAAAGCGAGCCAGGATGCTGAGAGGGTATGCGAGATCTGGGCGCGTGCAAGTCATCAAGTACATGAGGCAACCCACCAGCTCTACGTAGGGGCCACTGGGCTCTACTGGCTCCTCAGGAACGGGAGCAGAGAGCCCATGGTCTACGGGTAGAGGTGTGGGCTGTGCGGAGGAGAACTGAAGACCGAACCTCTGAAGGACCTGACGCACCAAGTGTGACTGGGTCAGAGTGATGGTGCGTGCTGCTCTGTCCTTGGAGATCTGCAGGCCAAGATAGCGACGCAGCTCTCCAAGGTCAGTGCAGGTGTGTCTCTTCAGCAGCTCAGCCTTCACAGAGGCCAGTGCGTCCCTGTCAGGAGTAGCGAAGACCAGGTCGTCTACGTAGACAAGGATGTAGAACGGAGTCTGGCCGGAACGCACAAACAGTGAAGGGTCAGCAGAGGACGGAAAGAACTGCAGGTCTGCTAACGTGGCACGTAGCGTGTCGTGCCACTCGCGGGGAGCCTGACGCAGGCCATAGACCGGGCGCCTGAGAAGCCACTGGGTCCCAGGAGGGAAGGTACCAGTAAAGCCCTGTGGTCGGCGCAGGTAGACCTGCTCGTGTAGGCTGCCCTGAAGAAAGGCAGTGGAGAAGTCGAGGGAGTGAAGCTCGTAGTCACGCTGTGCTGCTACGTGTAGCAGCGCCCGAAGAGTGGTCATCTTCGGGGTCGGGGCGAAGGTCTGGAAGAAGTCAACTCCCTCGCGCTGACTGAAACCTCTGGCCACGTAGCGCGCCTTGAAGACAGGCGGCTCTCCAGGGGGGCGCTTCACCTTGAAGAGCCACCGACCATCGACTACGTTCACCCCAGGCGGGGGAACTGCGTCGACGTAAGTGCCGGTGGACCTCCAAGATGCCATCTCCTGCTCCATGGCAGCTATCCACTGAGAGGCCCAAGGTCCCGAGGTGGCCTCAGCGTAGGTGCGAGGGGTCGGGATGTCGAAGGCGTCTGGGTCACCCTCAGGGACTAGGAGCATGGAGCAGAGATGGGGAGCAGCCTCGGAAAGGAAAGCCAGCTCGTACTGCCTGTCCTCTAGGACGTCACTGCCAAGGGCAGGAGCACCCCCGACGGACAGAGGACGGGCAGGGTCAGAGACCAGAGCGGTAGCGTAGTCAAGGCGGCGGGTAGAAGCGAAGTCAGCGACAGCGGCGACAAGCGGGTCAAGGCGCGAGACAGGAACAGCAGGGTCGGTAACAAGAGAGGCAAGGACCCGAGGGACAAGGGGACGAGAAGCACGGAGGTAGTCAGAGAACGGAGGAGGTGCAACAGCAAGGGACGAGGGAGGAGGGGACGGGAGGAGGGGAGGACGAGACGAGCGGGAACGGAGCAACATAGGGTGGGTGGGCAGGACAGGAGAGACGGGACGAGAACGGGGGGGACGGCGAGCCCAAACGTGAGACGGAGGGGTAGGGTCAGGGGACAGCGGAGGAGACACAGGAGGGGAACGAGGAGGAAGACGGGCCGGAGACGAGTCCGGCGGCGGGAACACAGGACCGTAGACAGGGAGGTCAGCAGGCGGTGGGGGAGACACCGGCGCGCGGTCCGGTGAGGGAAGGCCGAGCAGGCGGAGAGCGGAAACCGGCGGCGACGGCTGCTGCGGCGGCGACGACGGGTGGGCCGGAACTCTCGGACCAGCAGAGGCAGAACGACCGTCGGCAGAACACTCAACAGCAGCACCCCCAGAACCAACACCCCCAGAGCGAGAACCCCCTCCAACACCAGCGGCACCCCCAGAAGCCGCAGGACGAACACCCTCCTCCACACCAGCACCCCTAGGGGCCAAGAGCGGCGGCGGTAGTGGCGGCAACGGCTGCGGCGGCGGCGACAGCGGCGACGGCTGCGGCAGCGACAACGGCGGCGGCGGCGTCGGCTGCGGCGGTGACGACAGCGGCGACGGCTGCGGCAGCGACGGCTGCGGCAGCGACGGCGCCGGCGGCGGCAGCGGGGTCGGCGACTGCGACAGTGGGGGCGGAGGCACTGGGGAAGGGGGACGTGGCAAGGACGGACCGGGGGTACCACCAGAGTCAGCAGACTCCTCAACGGGGACAACCGACGGGAGGGGAGTGACGTGGGAGACACCAGACGGGGCAGGACGAGGCGGGAGAGGGGCAGGGGCTACCGGGGGAGAGGGAGCAAGGAACAGGGGGGGGGCAACTGGGAGACCTCGGTGAGGGAAGCGGCGGTAGAAGGAGACGGACTCGTCAAAGGTGACGTCACGAGAGTGGAGGAAGCGGTGAGACGGCGGGTGGTAGAAAAGCCAGTCAGACGAGTCCAGGGGGAAACCGAGGAAGACACAGGGGACAGTGCGGGCAGTGAGCTTGTCCGTGCCAGAGGCACGAACGTGAGCAAGGCAACCCCAGACGTGGAACGCAGACGCGTCACCGGGGGACCCGGTCCAAAGGAGGGTCGGCGAAACCTGCGGCCGCTGGGAGCGTGGCCACAGGTTAAGCTGGTGAGCAGCGTAGCGAAGAGCGAACGGCCACAAAAAATGGGGGGCATCGGCATGGATCATGGAGGTACGGGCGACCTCCATGACCAAGCCGATGTGGCGCTCAGCAACCCCATTCTGCTGTGGCGAGTCCGGCAAGGTGTACGACTGGGTGATGCCCTCCGCACGACAGAACTGTCCAAGCCGACCAGAGGCGAACTCGCCGCCACGGTCGGAGTGGAGACACAACACGGGGAGACCGCGGTGGAGACGCGCAGCCACAACCCACGGGAGAAGAACGTCGGGCACGCCGGCCTTCCGCTCCAGGGGAAACACCGTGGTGTAGCGCGTGTAGTCGTCGACGAGCACAAGGAAGTAGCGCTCACCGCGCGGTCCGGGGACGGGGGCAGGGCCCCAGACGTCCAAGTGCAGGGTCTGAAGGGGGGCAGTAGCAGGACGCAGCGAGGAGGAGTGAGGAGCACGGCGAAGCCGACCCTCGACGCAAGGCGTGCACGGTGGCGCAGTCGAGGGAGGAAGGGCAGGGAGCGACGCAGGGAGACCTAAGACAAGACCGTGCTGGGACATGTGACGCAGACGCGGGAGAGCAGGGTGACCTAAGCGGTGGTGCCAGAGAAGGGAGGGGTGAGCGAGGGACCGACACGAGCAAGCTGCAGCGACCTGGGAGGACGCACCAACCGGGGGGGAAGCGGTGTCTAGGGTAAACAGACCGGACACCGGGTCCCTGGGGAATGTCGCAAGGGGGGAACCTGAGACAGCCTCAGAACAGACAGCGAACCGCTCGTGTCCGGGGAACGTGGTGGTGACGCCGAGGTCCTGGAGACAGCCGACACCAACCAGGTTCCTGGAGAACGAGGGAACGTGGAGGCCAGTAAGGGAGCCTGAGGGAACTGCCGGACAGGGAAGGGACGTAGAACTGCGCGCGACGACCGGACCCGCAGAGGGGTCAGCGAGAGAGACAACAGCAGGTGCAGCAAGCGGCGTGAGCGTGGAACGGTCGCGGAAGAAGCAGGCAGAAGCACCGGAGTCGAGAGTGAAGGACAGCGACGCAGTGGCGGAGGCCGGGGACAGAGCCGGTGCAGCGACTAGACTAGGCAACCTAGGCAGTCCTACGCCTGACGCAGCAGGGGAGGCTAAGCTACACAGTGGTGCAACACCTAAACTAGAGTACACAGGGTAATAAGATCCAGCAAAACTAGAAGTGTCAGAATACAAAGCATGCAAAGCAGCACCTAGCTGATCCATGTCTAACTCAAAGATCGGCACGCCCTGGCGGAGCAGGCTGTGCCAGTCGGGGAGGTCCGGGGCCGGGCCAAAGCGACGACGAAAGAGATCGTCGAGGCGGCGGAAACAGCGGGCGGTCGGGTGCGGGCGGCGGCACAGAGTGCCGCGAAGAGGCCCGGTCTGAAGCTGGTACTGGCAGGTGACAGCACCGGAGCTGCCGGTAGACGCCAAGCTGCGCGGGCCGCCACCACGGCCACTACCTCCGGAGGTGCCGGGCCAACCAGGCGGGAGACGGGCCCACTTCTGCGGCGACTGCTGCTGGGACGGTAACTGCTGCTGGGGCGGCGGCTGCGGCTGGGGCTGCTCCTGCTGCGGCTGGGGCTGCTGCTCCTGCCCACCAGTGGTAGTCCCCGCAGGCGGACTACCGTCACCACCACTACTGCCACCACCACCCCTACCCCCCTGGCGACCACGGCCACCGCGGCGCGAGCGCTGCTGCGGGTGGACCGCACCAGCCGACTCGGTGAGAGGGGCCGCCGAGGCGACCGCAGCCGAAACGTCAGTGAACGCACACTGGGAGGGGGCACAACCGTGAAAGATAGAAACTGCCGGCGCACCGCTCGACTGAGCGATAGTGCGCTGGCGAGTCTCGATCTCGGTGAGGGTGTCGACAAAGGCAGTGAGAGTGAGGTCACCCGGGTGCTGGCTAAGAAAGTGATCGCGAGCACTAGCGAGGCGGTCTGGCAGGCGCATGGCGATAAAATAGAGCGTCATGCAGAAAGGGGGGGGGAGCGCAGTGAGTTGGGCAGCAGTGCTGGCAGTGCGATAGCGGGTCTCTAGGGCACGCAGGTGAGTGGCAAAGTCTGCGACGGTAGGGAAAGCTGCAAGGTCTGGGAAAAGCATAGGGAAGAGCAGGCGACCAGCAGAAGCAGACGCGGGTGTGGAATAGCGGACAATAACAGCGTCTAAGTAAGCTTTGGCCGTCTCAATAGTAGCAAAACGCGAGCGCTCAGAGACAGGGAGGGCGTGGCTAATGGCAACCTGAGCGACTGCATCGCGGGAGTCCCAGACCGCACGGGCAAGCGCAGCAGTAGAGAAGGTCTCACGGTCATCAGAGGAGGGATCAGCAGGGAGGGGAGCAGGTGCGGGGGGGCCAGGCAGGTGCTGGCGAGGCCAGGAAGGCACGTCGGGGCCAGGCAGGCGCGGCGGGGCCAGGCAGGCGCGGCGGGGCCAGGCAGGCGCGGCAGGGCCAGGCAGGCGCGGCGGGGCCAGGCAGGCGCGGCGGGGCCAGGCAGGCGCGGCGGGGCCAGGGAGGCGCGGCGGGGGCCAGGCAGGCGCGGCAGGGCCAGACAGGTGCGGCGGGGCCAGGCAGGCGCGACGGGGCCAGGCAGGCGCGACGAGGCCAGGCAGGGCGCGACGGGGCCAGGCAGGCGCGGCGGGGCCAGGCAGGCGCGGCAGGGCCAGGGAGGCGCGGCGGGGCCAGTCAGGCGCGACGGGGCCAGGCAGGGCGCGACGGGGCTAGGCAGGGCGCGACGGGGCCAGGCGGGCGCGACGGAGCCAGGCAGGGCGCGACGGGGCCAAGCGGCGGGGCCAGGCAGGTGCGGCGGGGCCAGGCAGGCGCGACGGGGCCAGGCAGGCGCGACGGGGCCAGGCAGGGCGCGACGGGGCCAGGCAGGCGTGGCGGGGCCAGGCAGGCGCGGCAGGGCCAGGGAGGCGCGGCGGGGCCAGGCAGGCGTGACGGGGCCAGGCAGGGCGTGACGGGGCTAGGCAGGGCGCGACGGGGCCAGGCGGGCGCGACGGGGCCAGGCAGGGCGCGACGGGGCCGAGCGGGCACGACGGGGCCAGGCAGGGCGCGACGGGGCTAGGCAGGGCGCGACGGGGCCAGGCGTGCGCGACGGAGCCAGGCAGGGCGCGACGGGGCCGAGCGGGCGCGACGGGGTCAGGCAGGGCGCGACGGGGCCAGGCAGGGCGCGACGGGTTTAGGGTGGCGCGACGGGGCTAGGGTGGCGCGACGGGGCCCAGGAGGGGCGCGACGGGGCTAGGAGGCGCGACGGGGCCCAGGAGGGGCGCGACGGGGCTAGGGTGGCGCGACGGGGCTAGGGTGGCGCGACGTGGCTAGGAGGCGCGACGTGGCCTAGCTAGGGTACGGGCGGAAGCGGTAGGTGGGGGATGCTAACCTACGCGTGATACCATATCAAAGTGAGAACGAATAATCACTAGAGGTGGAAACCTAGAACAAATACTAGTTGGTTGTACTCACTAGAAGCATACCTCAGTCTAGCCTATAACTTCTACATAGATAATATGTATAAGTTGACACTCATCACATGTCATGGGCATTAGAGTGAATACTACTATTCTACTATTCTCGTACCTTCGATTTCTACATGTTATTCAGGATCAGTACAATCCATCCATACATCTATAGCTCTAAGCTAGTCCGTGATATTTTGCAGCACATTAGTAATAAAAAACTTGATGAAGTTCCCATGTATAATGTTGGAAATACTTGTTTGCTGTATACGTATAGACCATATTCTAGAGATCTCCAAACTGAAGAGTCAGCACACGGACACAGCATTCCAGAAGCCACGGCACCGCCCTTCTAGGCGTTTCTTGCGCTCGCCAATCGGAGCCATGGCATGGCTCTTCTAAAGGTTCCTGTCCAGCTTTCACAGGAGGCTTCTAGACCGGATCAAGTCTCGCTGCTTCGAGTGTCTAGATGTCACGAGGAAACTCTAGAGTCATGGTTCTCGAAACACAAGTAGCTGGGCAGCGAACCGCCTTCTCAAACATAGTAGCCTTTATTCGTTTAAAGGTTGTCTTCGACTGTGCTTTATCACATAACCAACGATCAATTACTGCGATCTCCCACTCACTGCTCTCTCACTCACTAGTACGCTCTCGTGTGCAGAAACATTCAACGGAATGGCGCTCACACCGTTTTCGAACGATCCGCTGCTCAACTCCCTCTTCCGGCTGTCGCATATTCCAGACGAGTTCAGCACACTCTTCGATGCTCCCACTTCAAGATTCGTGAAGGACAGCCACGCCATGGCGTCAACTGCCGTCGACGTGAAAGAGACTCCCGAGGCCTTCAAGTTCATCGCGGACCTACCTGGCCTGAAGAAGGAAGAGGTTAGGGTTCAAGTGGAAGGCAAGAATCTGCTGACCATCAGCGGCGAGCGGTCTCGCGAAGTTAAGGACGAGACGGAGAAGTATCACCGTGTGGAGCGGAGCACTGGGAAGTTCCTGAGGCGATTCCGCCTGCCTGACAACGTGGAGGTGGATAAGATCGCTGCGAGCACTGAAAACGGTGTGCTCACCGTGACGGTGCCCAAGTTCAAGCCACCAGAGCCGAAGAAGCCGGCCGTTGTGGATATTCCCATCAACTAAAGGAGCCAGCAACCATTGTTGTCTGCCTGCTTGGGCCCATGTTGTACAGCAAAGCTTGTTCCTGAGTAGTCAAAAGCTGGAAGAAAAATACCCGTTTGTGCATTGTTAGAAAATCTTCCATTCCATGTCACCTGTTGATACGCGTGTCCTACTACTGTATGTCCATCGAAATAGCCAAGTTGTAATGCCTCCTACCAGTATCTCCTACAAGAGCTGCTGACTGTCACAGCTGTACCGCTCCTGACATGGCAGACCAACTAGGAGAATCCTAGATCCAGTGACGACTGAGAAACGTAGGTCTGAATGTGTGTGACCGACATGCTGGAGTTTGCGAAGAATGCAACGAGTCTTGTTACAGAGTGTGAAGCATATTCTGGTCGCGCAGTCCTCGAGTGCCCAAAATTACCCTTCGTTGTATGTTTAGCGAAAAGGTAAAGCAAAGAACTCCTCCGGCAAATCTCGCACACACAAACAACCTTTCTTTTCACTGTCGTGCAAACCCACCGACCAGGGCCATTCTTTTCAAGCCAGCTTGTAGCTGATTGGCTTCCACAACATCACCTCCAGATCCTTCTCAAGCGATTCCCTAGGTCCCCGAATCCCTTTTACAGAAGTCCCTGTCGTCGGTTCAAGTCCCAAGGACACCCTGAACACTCGTTCGGTCAGCAGGTCCATTTCTCTCGCGCACAGGCCTCCTTGCCGTCTAGCTCGCGGATTTTCAGATCGAATCGGCGATCACGTGAGTTCCCGACGGGAATTCCTCTTGACTCTAAGTACAGGGATTGGTCGGAGACTGGAACAACCTCCGTACTAGTTGTATCCCCAGCTCCACATGATGGCTTCCGCCACATCAGCGCTCCATCTCTCCCCCATCGCCACCACCACGGCACATCTCCGCCCCTCCCCCTCTTCCTCCACCTCCCCCGCCTCCGCCGCCGCTCTCTGCTCAGCCTTCCGCCCAGTCCTTCCTGTCCGCTTCCGCCACAGTAGCCATCGCCCGGTTGCGGCTGTGACTGTATCGAAGGCACCATATCGCAGTCGAACGGTGCGCTGCCAGGCTGCTAGCGGTGGCGATGCAGCAGCACCATCACCATCAGCAGCACCCGCACCTTCCTCACTAGAACCAGCAGCGGCGGCTGAAGCGAAGGGGCACGCGTTCATCCATGACTTCTGCTTCGGCATCACATTCGGTGAGCAGTGTCAGGCATGTCAGGCATGCCAGGCGTGTCAGGCATGTCAGGCATGTCAGGCATGTCAGGCATGTCAGGCATGTCAGGCATGTCAGGCATGTCAGGCATGTCAGGCATCTCAGGCATGTCAGGCATGTCAGGCATCTCAGGCATGTGAGGCATCCCAGCCGTTTCAGGCATCTCAGCTCATCCATGACTTCTGCTTCGGCATCACATTTGGTGGGCGCCACCATCTCGTCAACCGCCGCCATCTCAGCCGTCTCAACCGTCTCAGCAGCAGCAGCAGCAGCAGCATGAGACGTCGTGTGCTTCCTGCGCGCCAGGAGTGCTGATGCCATTGTTGCTACCCAAACACTTCTCTGCGCTTTACACAACCCCCCTGTCCCTCTGTCCCCCTGTCCCTCTGTCCCTCTGTCCCTCTGTCCCTCTTACACGTTGTCCCTCTGTTTTCTGCCGCCCAGGCATGGCAGCCACTGTGGCAGGCGTCGATTGGTTCCTGATTACCAAGAGGGCACACGCCCTGTGAATGACAGCTCTGTTGGGCTGCTTCCGACCTCCCCTCACGTTCCCCTCTCCAACCTGCCAGGCATGGCAGCAGCGCTGGCGGGCTTCAAATACTTCCTGATCACCAAGAGCGCAGACGCCCTGCGGCTCACAGCCCTGCTGGTCGTTTGATGCCTCCCCACTCTTCCCCTTTGTCCCTCTGTCATCTGTTCTCTGCCCCCAGGCATGGCAGCGGCAGTAGCAGGCATTGTGTGGTTTCTCGTCACCAAGAGCGCAGACGCCCTGCGGCTCACAGCGCTGTTTGGCGCCACCATCGCATTGGGGGGCGTGGGCAGCCTGAGGGCGTGGCGCAAGGGGCAGTCCAGCACACCGTACATTCTCGGGCAAGCAAGTGAGATGAAGGAGGGGCGTAGAATGTGAAGGTGACCACAGGTTTCTGAGAGTTCATGGTGCCAGCCCTCCCTTCTCAACGAGCCCTTAGCCGGTATGACCCATTGGCCCTGTTTGGTGCCACCATCGCGCTCGGGCTCAAGGGCAGCCTGAGGGCGTGGCGGAAAGGTCAGTCCAGCACCCCGCACATCCTTGGGCAACGAGGTGAGGGTTCCACACATTAATCAGGGGAAAGGATACGCCAGGCACCCCAACGGCCTTGTTTGGTGCCAAAATTGGTTTGGGGCACGTGAGCAGTATGGGGGCGTGGCTCAAGGGACAGTCCTGCACACATGTTTCTTTTGTGACTTAGCGTCCTTACCTGCAAATCTCCCCTTGTTCCCTTTCCTGCTCCACCTTCCCCTCCCCTTCCCCCCCATCCACACTGCTCCCCTCCCCTCTCAGTGCTCTGTGCTGTCTTGGCATACCAAGCCTTCTTGCGCCTGCAAGTGGTGAGCCCTCAAATGACTTCTCCGCTGTCTTCTTATCTAGCCACCTCAGCACACAAATACTCTACCTGTCGTTTATTGCACCTCCATATGCCTGCAGCTTCTCATCTTCTCCTCAGGCATCTAATCTACGTTGCTCAGGCATCTGCACTGTTTCCATGTGCTGACCATCTTGCATACACATTCTTTCCGTTATTTGAAACATTTGCCATCTCTGGACATGGCTTGCTACTGTAATATTGAGCTGCCTATGTTCCTAATTTGTGCATGCGCATGTGCTCGTGTATGTGTGTGTTTCTGCAGACTGGTGCCGTTTTCCCTCTGGGTCTTGGAATGGCAGTCAGGTAAGCGACCAGCGAAACATCATTGCTCATCCCTCCACTGCCTCACTCCTTTCTCTTGGTCCACCGCTAGTGTAGATCATTATCTTCACTGGATTGACGATCCGTGAAATGTTTGCTCTCTCTCCATGTCGCCATCAATTTTTAAGAATTCTAAAAGAAATCTCACTTAGGCCTCCACTTGTTGAGATCATTGTCCCCATTTTTTGGAAGTTCCGTGAAATGTTTTGCTGTCTCTCCATGTCGCCATCAAATCGTTTCCATGTTTCCCAATGCACCTGTAGCATCTTGCGGGCCGCTCTCCTGGCCCCACAGCTGTGTATAATACATCAGATTGGTGTGTCGATTCCTTCTTCTCCCCTCATTACCCTTCCCATCCACAGTGCTGCCATGGTGCTGTTACACATCTTTATCATCCTACCAGGGGGCAATCCTCCTCTCACCTCACTCAGGTTTCCGCTTTCTCCTCTCTCCCCCCTTTCCTCGCCACAGTGCTGCGATGGTGCTGTTCTACATCTATGTCATCCTGGCAGGGGGCAATCCCCCTCCCAAGAAGAAGGCAGTAACCGCTGCTTAGGGATAGCAGGCTCGGGGGAAACATAGGGTTTGGACTCTCCAGCGGCATATGGAATTGCATGCAATTCTTTAGTTTTGCCAGTTACGCAAAACTCTAGTAGTTTCGTACAATTACAGCGGTGCTATTTCCCCTGTTACTAGCAATCGGTGTCCCGTACATATGGGGGAAGTATGTGAGGAATATGAGCAGCATAGCACAACCGCTAGCTGCCGTCCACCTTGTTGGCTTGCTGTCGCTGGTTGGTACTGAACGTCCTTACTGCCACTGGCTCGCTGTTATGAATTAATCAGAGTAATAACAGGTAGTGTAATAAAGGAGTCGTGACAGGGCCTCAGATTACAGGTTTTTTACCCTGATTCAGGGTAAAATCAGGGTTTTTTTTTTTCGGGGGTGACCCTGATGAGACGGTTTTTTTTTAACAAGGGCCTGAAATTTCAGCGTTTTTTTTAGAAGTGAATTCTGATCGATCAGCGTGACTAGTGTAGTGAGGCCTGTTTTTCCAGCGACGTATTGGGGACCGACCCTGATACTACGTGTTACGTGTAATAGCGGATTCCGAGCCCCAACCCAACCCCCCCCCCCCCCCCAATAGGGTGAGCGTTAAACCGGAGAGACGGGACGAGCACGAGAAGGACGGCGAGATCAGACGTGAGACGGGGGCATCTGGTCAGGAGACAGAGAAGGAGACACAGAAGGTGTGAGAGTACTGTCAAACATGTGTATTTGTCATGTTTGTATAGACTGTATAGGGTTACCTCTTAGAGGGTACAACACTTAGGTATATTTGTGTGTACTCTCACTTTATCATTATTCAATTCCTATTCTGATATGGTATCACGCGTAGGTAGGATCCCCCCCACCTACCGCTTCCGCTCATGCCCCCTAGCGCCCCTCCTGGGCCCCGTCGCTCTCCTCCCAGGCCCCGTAGCGCCCCTCCTGGGTCTCGTCGCGCCCCTCCTGGGCTTCGTAGCGCCCCTCCTGGGCCCTGTAACGCCCCTCCCAGGCCCCGTCGCGCCCCTCCCAGGCCCCGTCGCGCTCCTCCCAGGCCCCCTAGCGCCCCTCCTGGGCCCCGTCGCGCTCCTCCCAGGCCCCGTAGCGCCCCGTCGCGCCCCTCCTGGGCCCCGTAGCGCCCCTCCTGGGCCTCGTCGCGCCCCTCCTGGGCTTCGTAGCGCCCCTCCTGGGCCCTGTAACGCCCCTCCCAGGCCAGGTCGCGCCCCTCCCAGGCCCCGTCGCGCCCCTCCCAGGCCCCCTAGCGCCCCTCCTGGGCCCCGTCGCGCTCCTCCCAGGCCCCGTAGCGCCCCGTCGCGCCCCTCCTGGGCCCCGTAGCGCCCCTCCTGGGCCTCGTCGCGCCCCTCCTGGGCTTCGTAGCGCCCCTCCTGGGCCCTGTAACGCCCCTCCCAGGCCCCGTCGCGCCCCTCCCAGGCCCCGTCGTGCTCCTCCCCGGCCCCCTAGCGCCCCTCCTGGGCCCCGTCGCGCTCCTCCCAGGCCCCGTAGCGCCCCTCCTGGGCTCTGTCGCGCCCCTCCTGGGCCCCGTCGCGCCCTCCCTGGGCCCTGCAGGGCCCCTCCTGGGCCCCGTCGCACCCTGCCCGACCCCGTCTCAGCCGCCCGGCCCCGTCGCGCCCGCCCGACGCCGTCGCAGCCGCCCGGCCCCGTCGCGCCCGCCCGGCCCCGTCGCAGCCTCCTGGCCCCGTCGCGCCCGCCCGGCCCCGTCGCAGCCGCCTGGCCCCGTCGCCCCTGCCTGGCCACGTCGCAGCCGTCCGGCCCCGTCGCACCCTGCCCGGCCCCGTCGCAGCCGCCCGGCCCCGTCGCACCCGCCCGGCCACCGTCCCGCTCGCCCGGCCCCGTCGCACCGGCCCGGCCCTGCCGCACTCGCCCGGCCCCGTCGCCCCAGCCCGGCCCCGTCGCACCCGCTCGGCCCCGTCGCCCCGTCCCGGCCCTGTCGCACCAGCCCGGCCCCGTCGCGCCCGCCCGGCCCCGTCGGGCCAGCCCCGGCCCCGTCCTCCTCACTGGTACGGTTCCCCCCCACCCCGCCCTGCTCCGTGCCGCCCCGCACCACACTGTACTGCCTGGCACCGCACTACACCGCACTACACCGCACTGCACCGCACTGTACCGCACTGCACCGCACTGTACCGCACTGTACCGCACTGCACCGCACCCCACCTAGCTGCACTGCCCTGCACCGCACTGGACTGTTCCTGATGGCGGCGGAGCTTCGCTTCGACGCTGAAGGTCAGCCCCTAGAGTTCGAGGCGTGGCTTGCCGACCTCCGCCGCCAACTCACTGGCCAGCGGCAGGATGGTGAACCGCTTTCCGCACACCTTGCCGGTACGCTCCCCTGCCCAAACCCCCCTGCTATTCTGCCCGCTGACCCCACACCCACTGAGCGTGAGTCTACTGCTGCCACTGCCCGTGCGCTCTCTGTCTGGCTTTCTCGCGATGCTGTCGCCCAGCTTGCCATTAGCAACGCCCTTCCCCCGTCCGAGCGCCCTCGCTTTAGGTCCCTCACTACTGCTCAGGCATACTTAGATGCTGTGATCAAGTGCTATTCCACCCCTCCGGCTGCCTCGGTGGGTCGCCTGATCCTCCCGATGCTCTTTCCTGACCTTGCATATTTCCCCACTGTCTCTGACCTCGCTGCCCACCTGCGCTCGATAGATGAGACCTGGCGCGCTGCCTGCACTGACGCCCAGCTTAGAGCCCACCAGCCGCCCATTACCTCTACCCTCTACCTGCTTGCCACCCGCCTCCCTGACCGCCTTGCTGTCGCCCGCGACCGCTTCCTTAGCATTCACCCCACAGACCTCACCCTCACTGACTTTGTAGACACCCTGACTGTGATAGAGACCCGTCACCGCTCCATCGCCCAGGCGAGCGATGTCGTGCCGGTCCCTATCTTTCAGGGTTGTGCCCCCGCTCAGTGCACCTTCTCCGACGGCTCTGCCGCAGTGGCTGAGACTGCTGCTGCAGCGCAGGTCCGTTCGGGAAAGGGCCGCCGCCCCAAGGCTGGGCGCGGCGGAGGAGGAGGCGGGGGTGCGGGCGGGGGTAGTGGTGGGGTCGGGTCGCCTGGTGCTGGAGTGGACGAGGGGACTCTGCCCAGTTCAGCTGAGTCGCCGCCCCTGCAGGTGCAGCAGCCGCAGCAGCCGCCGCAGTCGCAGCCTTCGCAGCAGCCGCAGCAGCCGTCGCAGACGCGGCAGACGAGTGTCCTCCCGCCAGGGTGGCCCGGCGCTGGCGGTGGCCGGGCGCGTGGTGGTGTGCCGCGTGGTGGCTCTGGCGGCGGGCGTTGTCAGTACCAGATCCAGACCGGTCCTCGCCGCGGCTTCGTTTGCGGTAAGATCGGTCACTCCACTCCTCGCTGTTTTCGTCGCCTGGACGACCTCTTTCGTCAGCGCTTCGGCCCGTCGCCAGACCTCCCGGACTGGCACAGTTTGCTTAGTCGTCAGATTCAGATTTTTGATATGGACATGGATGCCATTGTTTCCGCTCTGCATGTGATGTATGCTGATGACTCTAGTGTGCTTCCTGCTTATTACTCATTGTTGCCTAGTGTAGGTGTGCCTAGCTTAGCCTCCCCTGCTGCGTCAGGCGTAGGATCCCCTGCTTTGTGTAGTCTTGGTGCTTCTGCCGTCGTTCCGTCGCCAGACCACTCGGCTTCGCTCTCCTTCACCTTGGACTCTGGCGCCTCTCGGTGTTTCTTCCGCGACTCCACCACCCTGACGCCGCTTCCTGTTCCTGCTGCCGTTTCTCTTGCTGACCCCTCCGGCGGTCCGGTAGTCGCCCGCAGTTCCACCACCCTTCCCTGTCCGGCGGTTCCTTCGGGTTCTCTTACAGGTCTGCATATCCCCTCGTTCTCCAGGAACCTAGTTGGTGTCGGCTGCCTCCAGGACCTTGGCGTCACCAGTACGTTCCCTGGCCACGAGCGGTATGCTGTCTGTACCGAGGCCGCCACTGGTGCCCCCCTGTCCACGTTCCCCCGGGACCCGGTGTCCGGCCTGTTCACTCTGGACACCGTGACCCCCCCGGCTGGAGCGCCCCCTCAGGTGGCTGCGTCTACCCAGGTTGCTGCTGCCTGCTCCTGTCGCTCCCTCACTCACCCGACCCTCCTGTGGCACCACTGCCTAGGTCACCCTGCGCTCCCGCGTCTGCGTCACATGTCCCAGCACGGTCTCGTCCTTGGTCTCCCAGGTTCGCTCCCAGCGTTTCCCTCCTCTCCAGCCCCACCTTGCACGCCTTGTGTCGAGGGTCGGCTTCGCCGTGCCCCTCACTCCTCCTCGTTTCCCCCTACCGCCGCGCCGCTGCAGACCCTGCACCTGGACGTCTGGGGCCCCGCCCCCGTCCCTGGGCCGCGTCGAGAGCGCTACTTCCTTGTGCTTGTCGACGACTTCACTCGTTACACCACAGTCTTTCCCCTGGAGCGCAAGGCCGACGTGCCTGGCGCTCTCATCCCCTGGCTTGTCTCTGCGCGTGTCCACCGCGGTCTCCCTGTCTTGCGTCTTCACTCAGACCGTGGTGGCGAGTTTGCCTCCGGTGTCCTTGGTCGCTTTTGTCGTGCGGAGGGCATCACCCAGACGTTCACCCTACCGGACTCCCCACAGCAGAATGGGGTCGCTGAGCGACGCATCGGTTTGGTCATGGAGGTCGCTCGCACCTCCATGATCCATGCCGGTGCACCCCATTTTCTGTGGCCGTTCGCTGTGCGCTACGCTTCTCACCAGCTTAACCTGTGGCCGCACCCTCAGCAGCCGCAGGTTTCGCCGACCCGTCTTTGGACTGGCTCTCCTGGTGACGCGTCTGCGTTCCACGTCTGGGGCTGCCTTGCTCACGTCCGTGCCTCCGGCACGGACAAGCTCACTGCCCGCACCCTTCCCTGCGTCTTCCTCGGTTTTCCCCTTGACGCGTCCGACTGGCACTTTTACCACCCGCCGTCTCACCGCTTCTTTCACTCTCGTGACGTCACCTTTGACGAGTCCGTCTCCTACTACCGCCGCTTTCCCCACCGTGGTCCCCCGGTTACCCCCCCCCTGTTCCTGGTCACCCCTTCCCCGGTAGTCCCTGCCCCTCCTCCTCCTCCTCCCCGTCCTGCCCCCTCTGGTGTGTCCCACGTCACCCCCCTTCCGTCCGTGGACCCGGTTGAGGAGTCTTCTGACTCTAGTGGCCCTCCTGTGCAGTCCTCGCCGGCCGCCCCTCCCCAGGTGTCCCCTCCCCAGTCCCCTCCTCCACCGCCACTACCGCTGCTGCAGCCGTCGTCGTCGCCGCCGCCGCCGCCGCCGCCGCCGTCGCCTCCGCCGCCGCCGTCGCAG